CAAAAACTAACTTTATTGAGTTTTCACAAATCGGGAAAAAGTTTCACAAATCACAAACATGGTTCCAAATATTCTGCTATTAGAGCAGAATAATCTATTCAAGGTTTGATGAGTCTAGGTGTTGTAGTTTTTAAATTAGAGCAGTTTTAGTGTGATCCAGATGCCAAAAATAGTGACTATCAAACTTTCTTGAGTTTTCACAAATCAGACAAAGGTTTCACAAATCCCAAACATGGTTCTAAATATTCTGCTATTAGAGAAGAATAATTTAGTCCAGGTTAGAAGTGTCTAGGTGTTGTAGTTTTTAAACTAGAGTTGATTAAAGATGCGGAAAGTAGTGAAAAATTAAGTGGAATCGCCATTTAGCTATTGGAAGCTAGAATTGGAAACCAACTTCAGCTTCGTCTCGAACGCTGCATTCATAATACGCTGTTTGTCTTGAAAATTATGCAGCCTCACCAGCACCGGGCGAGGTCTTGGCTCGGAGGACGGCACCTGATTTGGAGTGCGATGCGCTCTGTCTACTTTAAGTCGGCCCGTTTTTGTTTTAATGTGGAGAAGTTCTGGCAGCCAGGTCTCAAAAGAAACGAGTGGGATTGTTGCCTTCAGCCTTTTCCGGTAGGCCAACAATGCGGATATTCTTCCTTCTCCCCCTGTTTTCTAGATCATCAGCACGCTCCGTCAGGTCCTTCACCCGCTTTCCCAGCGATTCGAGTTTGTCAATGGACGGGACCGAGTCATCCTCTATAGCTGAGAGACGGGTTTCAATCTCTTTTATGCGTGTTTCATCGTCTTCCAAATATTTACCATGCGTCTGTAAGAGCAGAGAGACTGGCCCGAGTTTCTCTTCGATAACTTTAGTGAGATTCACAGTGACTTCACTAATCACCTCGCGTAGTGCTGGATCCATTCCTTCTGACACGGTGCTAGCAACCATGTTAGCTTCACTGCTCTCCGGCCTGGGATTCTCCTCGGCGTCGACTGCTGGGGTTTTCCTGCGTGGCATATTGTCAGGCTGAGTCGAAAAATATCTACTAATACTCATCGCAGTTTCGCAGAAAGAGAATGAGAGTGTTCTGACATTATTCGTGGGGTATAAGTGGAGAAATATAGTGAAGTGGCGTGCTAGCACTCCAAAGCACGACCGCACCTCAAGCCGCCGGCTTCGTTTCTGAGCATTTGAATGGGAAAATGCGAAAATCCAGCGATTTTCAAGAAAAAAATCATCAGAAGTGGTTAAGCTAAGTAGAAAAAAAAGGGTACTTATAGTACAAACCACAGGGTGAAAATAGCAATATACCATAAATGATTTTATTATTATATATTATTTTTCCATGATGACAGGTGAGCCTCTGCCTCCCCTGACCACACGTCACTGCTTGTCATCCACTAGATCAGGGGTCACCAACTCCAGTCCTCAAGGGCCACCATCCTGTAACTTTTAGATGCGTCTCTGCTCAAACACACCTGGATCAAATAAACTGCTCATTTCCAGCCTATTGCAGAGAGGAATGAATGCTGGTGAGGGAATTCAGACATTTTGGAGCAGAGGTGAATCTAAAAGTTGAAGGATGGTAGCCCCTGAGGACTGGAGTTGGTGACCCCTGCACTAGATGGTGCCAAGAGGCTGCACTTACCTGGAGGCGTGCCTGCTGTCTGGTTTCAGCTCATCTATGATCAATCACCTCGTCAATTAAGAGTATGAGGAACGGGCTGCCAGCACTTCAGCACTTGTTTGCCGGTTATGGTACTCTGAGGCCCTCTAAGCCTGTGCCTTTGAGTTATCTAAGTTTGTTCTCAAGTAATATTTTTCTATCGTCTCTCCCTCAGGTGTTTCCCCGTAGCGCCTTGGATTTTAGTGTTTATCCCAAGTTCCTGGCTTTCTGGTTTCCCCTCGTGATGCTGTGGATTTTACCCACTGGTTGCTCGAGTCCCTCTTCGCCTCAGCTGAAGAATCACTGACAATTCCTGGTTTCACGGCTGGCAGTCAGATCGCTCCTCATCTCTCCTCACAAGAACTTACTTGTCTGCCCTCCATCACAAGCCTCTTCCATCTACCTTCAAGGAACTCACAGTCAAAATCACACTGGAACCTGGATCATCTGAAGAACCCCCACCTGCAAAGATACCACAACCCCAGAGAGAACAGTACTTCTCCCCCTGGCAGAAACCCACCACTTCAAGTAAGATCATTCCAGTTCATCAGAGTTCAACCTGTCCATCTTGCCATCAACTCCCCTTCTCTCTCTCACTGTCTTCAGAGTTCTGACGACCCTGGGTTCCCATCCACAGGACAAGAACCATACAATCTCATATTTTCATCATTGTCAAAATAAACTATCTGATTTCCTATTTGTATTTTTGCTCCTGTTCTCCCGATTGTGTTCTGTCTGTGGGTTAAAAGATGTGAACCCAACATGACAATTTGGAGCTCACAAACATCAGTGAAAATACTGCAAAAATAATTTGAATAGCAGCAAAAGCCAAACATGCCACAAATGACTAAATCAAAATGTACCAAAAGCAGGACGGACTGGCATAGGAGCTACCGAGAGACTCCAGGTAGATTCCAGCTGAGAGATGTGCAGCGGCTTGCTCTTCATGCAGGGCTGGCCCAAAGTAATACATGCTAGAAGTATTTAAATTAAGTTATAGATAAAACACTCTTTTATTCATATTGTATTTTTGTTTAGCTGCAGAAGTTTTACAGAATCTGAGCTGAGTGATATGTCACTGTTTTTGTACAGCTACAACTGGAAGCTTCCAGAGCTTCCAGTTGTAGCTCTTGAAGAAGAAACTTTAACATCTTTTCTGTGCGTTAGAACCTCGCTGCTTCTGAGAACAATTAAAAAAATAAAAAATACAGCAGGGGGGATTTAAAGTTGCCAAAACTGAAGAACTCTTGTCTGTTTTGTGAATGCAACATAAGGAGAATTTAATTTGGCCCGTTACCCCTCCTAAGAACCTCTGCGTCTCTCACCATGTTTAAATGTAGATTTAGTGAAGTCTGTGATGGGGAGCCCAGATTAATTGGTTGAGTTTAAAATAAATCACTGATTATTTGCTGTGATGTATTTGTGAACAACTCAGCTCAAACACAAAGATTACACCATATTGTAGCCATGGTAACACAACAAACTATTAAGATGATTCCTCACATGTTTACAAAGTAAACTAATTAAATCCTAAATGAACAATTTATTCTCTGTTGAATGCATTAAGTAAAATTTAATCGTATTGTCATTCTCTATAAATTAATGCTACAGGTTTAGATCTATGGTCTGTGTTACAATTCAACCATTTCTAGGGGCCCCTGAAAGTCTGGAGGGCCGCTACTGAGTTTTCTTTGCCTCTGAGATCTAGAATTGTAAGACTGGGATCAGTCTTACAATTCTAGATCTCAGAGGCGCTAACATAAAAAAAAGTATATAGAGTTAACCCCTTTGAGCTTTTTAGATCTATAAAGCAGTCTGCAGCCAAGTTGATGTAGAGGTTAAATAGATATTATTAGGGCTTAATTATGGGAGCAAATTTGCTTTATAACCTGCTGGTTATGAAACGGTAACATTATAGCTGTTGGGGAAAACATAGACATGTTTGCTTTGCATTGTCCCCATATGATGACAGTGATACAATATGGTCTGATTAAATATTAGATTCTTGATTAATTGTTGCTATATTGTTGCACAGTGTTTTAAGATCTTGTTCAATGTGCCCCTTTTTAACTTTGAGTCCCTGCCCCTCCAAAGGTCTCTGAATGGCCCTGGACTTTTTCAACATTTGTAGACGTAGGAGAAGGTTTGAATTCATAATTATCAGATGTGTGAGGTTGAAGTTAAAAAAAAAATTTGAGTAGAAATTTAATGTTTGTAGAAATTGTAATTGTGTGTGTGTGTACTTTTATTTTATATGTGTAATTTCTTCATATTTATTTATGCATTTTACCACATATTCACAAGTACCCAGAGTTACGCACAAATTTTCTTTTAACGGTTTACAAATCATGTTTCACAGACACAACTATCCAAAGTTACACACAAAAATGCTTACACGGATTACAAAATCCAGTATTAAACATGTACAGATATTTTGAGACTATTTTCACTCCATACAATTTGATGAAAAAAAAATTGTTTAAAAAATTTATATCTCTAGAGGAGAACAAAATCCTTCTTTTCCACTCTCCCCCCCCCCAAAAAAAAAAAAAAAAAAAAAATAATAAAATTATTAATAACTTCCAACCAAAAATTTT